GTAATATGGCGTTTATCTCAGTTTCTATTCTTTCAGTCAGGAGCGCCATTATTTATGGTAAACTGCAGCTGTTTGTGTGTGTCGATCTGTATTTGGGCTTCTGTTTTGTACCTACGATGTGCAGCTATTTTTTCTACCTTCGTAAAATTTACTGTAAGCGACCACTTCTAGGCGCTATGCCCCGCACCCTACTTACTGAGCTACCTCATCCTAACTCTAGGTTAGCTTCTTATGGAGAACAATGCAATACAGCAAAATCTGTAATCTCATTTCTGAACCATTGCTTTTGTATTTGCAAGTTTCTGACGATTTCATAAAATTCTTAAGTTCGTAGCGCCGCGGAAGACGCAAAGTTTCTCTTGTGAAGTGCCATCTTTCGGGTCATGATGCTGCGTCCTATACAACCTGGTGGAAAAGTTACACAGGCGGTACCTGGCTGATATTGTGAATGGAAATTTGAAAAACGTTTAGTCGCTTCGCGACACCTCGCTTGGTGAAAGGCCTTTATTAAGAGTAGACTAGAGTCGAGTCTTTGATATCGCATAAATTTTCTCCGCTGGCGAGACCTGTCGATAAATTCGAGATAAATTCAGCGGTCGCCGTGCGAAGTTGGTTGGCACAGCTTGTCTGACTTTAATCGCGACACAAACTCAGCCTCACTTTTTGACCCTCACTGCTAAGATGTTATCCCACCTCAAAGCCAAATGGATTTACCTATGTTCGCCAGTTTTCATGTAATTTTAATTACGTAATATTAGATGTAACGATATGTCGTTTATGGGCCAAATGGCATATGAAACATTTGTGAAACGGTAATCGACTGAAAATTCTTGCTGCGTTTTCGATAATGCGTCACTCGAAGAACTATTTGTTCTTATGAAGATTGCCGCTACTTTTGGTCAGGTATGCGGGGCACATATGCAAGTTATGTGAAAGTGGTAAGTTGAGAAAAAATCTCCTTTTTATGACTTACTGAGAGGACAGCAGAACGATCAGTGAAACTGCACAGGAGACTGTGCGGATCAACCTGAGAAATCCACTTCATGTTTTTGCCAGAAGGCTTTGCAGGCTTCAGTTTGATTGCAGCAGTCTACCTGTGTGAACAAGTATATTTAACATTGCTGACCTTGAAGATAACATCATTATGAGAAGCTTTTATTATTGAAGACATTAGACTGAAGCTTTTAATTCATGGTTTTGCAACTTTTTTCTGTATTCATGCCGCTGAAGTGTTTCGGTTAGAAAGAAATGCTCTGAAGCTTCAAAATGACGAAGTCGCAATTTTTTGACTTCGTAATATGAGCATTTCACTGTTGAAAACTGTTCTAGAAGATGAGGGGTCTTTTGATGCCATGGTTGGCAACGCAAGAAGCAAGAAAGTAATTTTATTTACAAGAATTGCAGTATACGACAGAACTGGCATCAGGAAACCTGGAATCAGAAGATCTATCACTTTCAAATTGTCTACGGTAAGGTGTCGGTATGGCCTTAGAAATTATTGAAGACTGATCTATATATTCCGTTTTTTATTGCGAGTTTGTCAAGCAGAAGTTCACTGTAAATACTGCTTTATTTGTCGTGACTCCAGTTTTTTTCATATGGAAAATTTCGTCCTCTTTTCAAAACGATGACGTCACGACAACATCATTGGGCAAAATCGTTGAACTATATTTTTTTATTTCAACAATGTAGGCATCGTGGGTAATGTTTTATGATCTTTATTTTTTTATGTCATCTATCCATCATGTTCTGGACTGTCTTTCGGCATTGCCTATCAATCGTCTTCTTCTATTCAGAAGTTAGACCGCATGATAAAAACATCTTATCGTTCTTTCTTTTTGGATGTTAATAAGGACGATGACCTCTGATTTTCAAATTCTGTCAGTATTCTGTTACCATTTCTGAACTCATTGCAGTCTCGTAGAGATCATTGTTGTAAGGAGTATAGATTTCAGCCACTCCGTCTTGTACAATTCTTCTTTGTCTTATGATATTTTTCATTTTGATTTTTAAAAAATCATTAGGTTGTTTATGGAAACCGTGAAGCCACAACGAGTTTCAGCGGATGCGCCAAGAAAAATTTAAGAAATTTTACTTGGGATAGTAGTTCAGTGGTATATACTTCACCATGTTTCTCCCTCTCAAGCGATTTCGTTCTTCGTTTCTCGCTTGCCGCAGCGGATACGCCGAAGTTGAGTTATGATTTACGAAATTTATCCCAAGCTTGTTATTCACAAAATAACCTGGATTCATAGCTCAAGATGCTAAATATTTTTTATACATTAAAATGAATCGACTGATGATCCCTTGCCGATATCCATGGACTTCGGGCTGTGAATGAATGTTTTAGTTGTTTTGTGCGGTGTCACAGTTTAGAACTCAACGAAATTCGCCCATAATGTTGCTAAATGCCAGTAACATTCATTCGATCTCTTTATATGCTTTCGGCTTTAATGGGTAATGTCGTCGTCAAATTGTCTGACGAAGATAACACTGCGCAGAAATGAGCGTGAGAGACTGAAAACCTGGAAGAAATACAACCGAAAGATCGCCATTTAATTACGCCACTATTTCTGGTACAGTGCAGCGGTTGGTGGCTGCTTCAGCGATTTTCGATAACTTTCCGCTCAAAATTTTCTTCATTTCTCCTATCGTGATTTATGTTTTATACGTAACTGTTATCATTCTTGCGACCTGAGTTAAGATGCTTAAGCACTATCCGGTCACTCAACATCGTATCCTCGACGTAAAACGTCTAAAGTGCTTGTTTCTGAGTTTAGTTGGCGAGGTCACTCGTAAAACTGGATTAGTCATTCGACGTGTAGCTATTTAGATTTCTCAAGTTTTTCCCTGTAGTCGTTGGCTAGAAAATTGGCAGTAGTTGTTAACCGCTGTTAGAGGCTGAAGTTCTGTCCTTACCTTCTAACTGGCCTTATCCAATGAACTGTAATAAATTGAGCAGCGAGGTTTGCTCTCGGTACAGTATCAGGTAGTCACCACCTAATATGAACTACCAACGCCATCACCCTGATCGAAACCATAGTGAAATCCAGCCAAAGAGTTTTTAACCTGCGCACAGCAACTTTTTTTCCATAAGGGACTGTATTTCTAAACTCCATCATTGATGGCATAAAACCATTTCTTTATGCGATGTTGTAGTTTAACATGTCATTATGTTACCTCGTGTAATATTCAACCGACCATTGAATCTTGTTACAGGCAATGTAGGTAGTTACTCTGTTCAGGCTTGCGCAGCCTTGTGCCTTACGGTACCTGATATACAGACGTTCTTTTCGGCATCTTCCCTTACAGTGATTGCTCTCAGTCGAACAGAAGCGCTTGATCTTCAGTTCATCTGACTTTATTTCTCGGTGATTAAACCTGCATTTTTCTGGAATGAAATTACAAGTTTTAATGTTGAGTATTGTGCTGTTACTCGGCCAGCTATTCAGAACTGTCCAGACTCAAATGATAATACTTTACGAATGAAAGTTGCTTCGCCCTGACTTACAGTTCAAGCCAAGACATTTGCTGTTAATGGTAAATCAGGATCTTGGCGAATCTTGCTCCGATTCAGCACTTGGTCCTTGCATTTTTTTGCGCATTTGAGATAATAAGAAATATCATTTAGCTTTGCGTATGCTTTTTCCAACAGAGCCGACCAAAATTCGTTCTTTTCTGACGAGTGCAGAAAGTACAACTTACCTTTGTACGTTGGAAGTCGATCGTCTATGCAGATCTCTACCCATTCGCCGTAGTGCCAGAAATTGAACCTTACTACACCGCAGTAATTTTGCTTGAAACTCTGGTCGATCGGCACAACTCTTGTAAACAGGTCCATGTTTATAGTTAAGTTCGTCAAGCCCGCCAAAAACCAGCAATTGCTAGTTTTCCCCTGCTTGACGTCGAACCGTTCGACGACATTTTCAACAAATTTGGCATTTTTGCTTATTTCTTTTGGCCTTTAACAAACAAATTTCTTGTCAGGCACTTTCGAGCGATAAATGGACTGATCATTGGCCGGAAAATCCGGATCTTTCCAGAGAATGTTCTTCGTTAAACAGAAGATTTTCGCCATTAGACCGGTCAGTTCACAGTTTTGAACGTTAAACTCGATAGCGCCTTCTGCTTAGCAAGGGTTAGTAGCTGTTCGCAGCG